TTATCGTTCATTCTTTCTAAACGACCAAACTACCGAAGTATTCCTCTCTTAATCCTGGTCACAACATCATCTTGCAAACCACACTTTTCTCTTATCACACAATTTCTCACCCTGTCATTCAGTGAGCCAGATTCAGTGCTAACATACTCCTTAATGACCGCATTTCTACAGCATTTTTATTACTCTCGTGCTTCTTCTGCTACCCGCAACTTTCACTACCATACATTAAAGTAGGGACAAACACAGCATTGTGAATTGTCATAAGTGCCTTTTTTGACACATTCTGACTTTCCAGAATAGAGTGTAGAGCTCCATTTACTTTATTTCCCGCGTTCACTCATCGTTCTATATCCTTATCATATCTACCATCCCTGCTAAATACACAAACTCATCTATTTGCTCAACTACTTAACTCTACTCAACTTTCTATACGTGGTAGAGCGATTATGCTGCTATTTTAGTAATATAGTTGTAGCACGAATGGGGAAGGACCACGCTCTCACAGAATATTTAATATTTAACTGAAAACGAGGCATTCCATCTTAGTCCTCACGGGTCATAACGCATCTGCATTATGATTCGAAATTGAAGTTAGATACAGATGTATATGAGCCACTCTTGTTCTGTAAAATCAATTCTATTATTAAGCTATTGCATAGCTTCTATCGCGGGCCTTGAGCGCGGGGACCGAATCCAGAAATTCCGTAACGAAAAAAAAACCTCACGCTCCCCACTCCGACGGGCATGGAGGTGTGGCGTTGAAAGCCGTGCATCGTCTAACGTCGTTTCAGTTCGGCAGACTTCGGCACCCGGCAGGATTCGGCACGGTGTTTGTGTGCGTGCGACTAGACGTATGCGTGTACACTAGCTGCTCACTCAATGATAAAAATTCCTGAATAACCTACATGTATTGTAAGATATTAAAAATATTTTAAACAATATTAACTTCTCATTTATTCAATAAAAGAAAAAAAATTGTTTTCTTATCGGTCACCACGCTCAAAAAGTGTAACTTGATTTAATATCAAAGACTTAACTGCATAAATAAAATAAATAAATAATTATAATTGCATAAGTTGATACAAAATGCTATGCAATAGCTTTACCGCGGCAGTCACCGAGTGCCACACGTATTTTATAATTATTCTATTCTTATTTCACATATTATTTTACTTTTTTCCCTTTTAAAAACCATGTCTTTCGTCTTACTTGCGTTCACTTTCATTCCGCTTTCTTTTAATGATCTGTTCATTAATGGAACCATTGTTTGCAACTCGGCCGCCAATGACGCAAATATGACTTGATCATCGGCATACAAAATGCATTTGACGGTTTACTCACCCATTCTTCTATCAAAATTTCTAAACTGGCCATAAATAGGTTAAACAGTCAAGGGGAAGCCACACAGTGCAGTCTGACACCTTTAAGGATGCAAAACCAGTTCGAGTAGGTCCCGACACAAGCACTAGAGTCCCTGTAGAGACTTTAATGCCTGAGCCTAATTTAAAAGAGTTATGAAAAAAACTGGATTTAGATGGGAATGGGGTCTACGGTTCAAGTCTTTTCCATGCGCATGATTGGGGAGAAGTTTTTAGCCAAAAAGTTTTTTATGCGTTCATGGACTTGGGAAAGGCTTATGACAGGGTGGACAGGGATGATGCTGATGTTTTTAACGTGGTAGAGCCATGCTACAGTTATATTGGTAGTATAGTTGTATCAAGAATGGGTCGACTCGACCGGGGAAGGACCACGCTCTCACAGAATATCAGCATAAAATAGCAGCTTAATGCTGCTGTATTTCGTATGGTGAGTGTAGAGAACGAGAAAAAGACCCTTCTTACTGGAAACGAGGCATTCCATTTTAGCCCTCACGGATGACAACGATTCTGCATTTTGATTCCTAATTGAAGATAAATGTAGATGTTTATGGGCCACAGCATTCACTTACCATCAGGTGGACTGTGTGTTCGTTTTTCACCCAATCCTATAAAAAAAAAACACTGAACTTATTTGGGTTGAGCGCTGGTTGATGCAAAGAAGTTATGCGGGAAAAAGTGCGTTTGTACTATTTTTCATTTTGTAGTAATGAGCTGTATAACTACAGATACTATTTCAGATGTAAAATAGCACCACATCCAATATAGGAAGATAAGCGAGTTTATGTAGCACTGGTGCTCGCACACTCCACATGTATTAATAAACAAGGTAATTGATGGCGGCAGTTCTATTTGGAGTTAGATCTAAAATTTGGATTTGGAAATTTGGATCCTGAACTAATATCTCGATTTAATTATAAACAATCATTTTATAATCGTTGTTAATATCATATACTAGCTTTATCCCGCGGCTTTGCTCGCGCGGACGTCGCTTTACCAACATCGTTCTGGAAGCAAAATTATCGTAGACTTAATAATATGTTTACTGCGTCAATTATTCACAGTGTAAATATAATATATGTTAATAACTCGGACATAGCACCACATATGGGGTTCAGATTTTGTGGTTTTGTTTTTTGGCACTAAACAATGTATGTTTATTCTAACTACGAGGTGTTTTGGTCCAGATATACTATTTGTAAATAAAATAACGTTACTATAACGCCACGATCTGATCCTAGCATATATCTAAGTACTATCGTCGCGACAAAGGTAATATACATAGCTGTAGTGTGACGCCACTATGTGCTAACCTATATTATGTTTATTCAAAATATATAAAAAGAATTAAAATTCTGGGACATGATATATTTTGTAGCTTTGAGCACAAAACTAACGAATAGCAGTAAAAATTGTTTCTGAAAATAATGAAAACGTAAACAATGGATATGTCTTCATTTAGAATGAATCCGGACCGCAACATTACAATCGGTAAAAGAAAACAATACGCCTTTAATAAAACTGATGTGATCGAAATGGGAACAGTGAATTGTGTGCAGTATCTGCGTAAATACTCAAAATCCAAACACATTTTATCCGTAGCTCAAGATCCTTAAGCTCAGTAAGAAATTGTAACAATAACATATACGAATTTGCAATTGTTAGTGCTATTGAAAGCAGTTTGCAAATAGCTACGACGATATGTTTTGTCTAATAAATTGCATGGTGTAGTTTTTGCGTAAATATTATAAATTTAAATAAATTTTGTAAGAAGCAAAATATTAGTCAGCGTAGTAAAGAATGAAGTTGTAACGGATAGCACATACGAATTTATGTTATTTAAAAACATACCTTTATAACGCAACGATGATGAAATCAAATAACAACGACGTGGTGTTTTGTCTGATACAGTTTGTTTGCTGAAAACGAATATGGTATTTGACTGTATGTCTCTTATTGTAAATATATGGCTGCGACCTGGGGTTCCATCCCACAAACTTCCCAGGAAGTCGCCCAAAATGAGAAATCAGGAATATGAAGTAGGAGTATTATAGAAAAAACTTATTCAGAACCTGCATGCGTAAATAGTAGGTAAAAATTTGCTAAACAATTTTAATATTTAATTTTACCAGTTAATTATTTTACCTAATAAAACAATTGTAAAATTTGTTTTATTTTCACATGCAACATAAATCTGCTTGACCGTTTTGACAAAAGCTTAATAAGTTTTTGTCAAAATCGCATCACTTGCGCATTTAATGCAACCAGTCCGCCATCGATATTATTATTTATTCTTGAGATATACATGTATAGACATGTCAAAATTTAGAGTCCATGGTCACCATGTCCATGTCGGACTGACCATGGTCGGTGCATCGGTGCCACATTCATTACAGAAAAGTTTTTCGGAGTAGTTAGTACGCCGCGGTGCTCCAGTGGTTGCGTATTAGCGGACATAAAAGGTATTATGTCTGAAAATATTTTGTAACTCAAACGTGCATCCGATACGATGTTTTTATTACCGCCGAGCAAGTGGTAAATCAGCACTTAATATTATAGTAAATTATTTTAGTGGTGCAGAGATCGAGCTCGGTTTGTGGTGACTGGTGACTGACTTTTAAACTATCACGGCTCATCCAATTAGTACATATAGATAATTAAGTACAATTGCAATAACGTTCGTAAATTCTTCCGATTTTAGCAGTGAGGATAAATTTTTCAAAAATAGTTAAATAATATGTTAATAAAGATTATTATTATATTACTTAAGTAATTAGTACCCGGTTCACCGAGCTTTGCTCGGTATTTTTCGCTCGGTATTTTTCGCTCGGTTTTTTTTTAATTCGTGTGTTTTGGAAATTATATTTGGATACAAATTACATACTGATGAAATACGAATAATATTTTTTGATCTTAGCGACATAATAGAAAAAACTGAACTGGTTATTTGAATAAAAAATCATGAGTGCAATTAGTTTAATTTAAATTTTCGTGTTTTTAAAAAATACTAAAAAAAGGGCATGAAAAAACAGATTTTCTCAAAAAAGAAAGGAACTTGAAAAAAAAATTAAAAAAAGTTGGTCGGTCGGTCTGGGCTCGAACCATGGTATTAAGATTCTGTGACCGCCCAATATACCAATTAAGCTATTTGTAATCGTTAACAAACTGTTAAAATTTACCTTCTTATTCTAACGATATTGTAGCAGTTTTTCATTGCCTAAAAACACGGACAAAAAGACATTTTCAAAAAATAAATCCTAGCTAGATCGATTTATTGCCCCCGAAACTCCCTGCACACAAAATTTTACGAAAATCGTTGGAGCCGTTTCCGAGATTCCGATTATATATATATATATATATATATATATACAAGAATTGCTCGTTTAAAGGTATAGGATAAACTATTAAAACAATTTTTTTTATTGTTTTAATAATGTCTGTTAACATCGCCAACAAATTGCTAGTAATAGCGTTTGTGATGTTAGTAGACACTATCACATACGAGTACGTTATCGTTAAAATAGTTAAAATACCGGTAGCTAGTGTGATGAAATAAACAATAATAGTGCGCGTTACAACATTGTGCAGGAAATAACTTTATAGCAAAGAATTTACGAGGCTTACCGTCAGTGATAAATGTGTAGACATTGCGCAGTTCCGCCTCATACTCCTCGAGGGAGACAGCGGGGGCTATTGGCGCAACGTAGTCCTCCTCCGGCGAACGCTCTGAACCGTAGCCTTGATCGAACTGGGATTCCTGTAGCTTCCACACCGGTTCTGCTTCTGAACCTGTAAAGAAGAAAGAATTTCGTTTTTAAAAACAAGATACTAATAAATATTTAAATATATCCACAAAAATATTTTTAATGTTTTACGTTTATAAAGATTACGCCAGAAGCAGATTGGTTTCAATTATATTATTATTTCTATTTTAATGAGATAAATTATCCAGTTTGTAAAGGCGTTTCTTTATTTGTCCCGTAGACAATCCTATATCATAAATTCGATTACGATAAATGATAAGTCGTTAGATGCACGACTGCGTAGATTTCTGAATTGAATTTTCTTGTTTGTTCGTTTTCTATGCTTTCCTATAACATTTATCCTATTACGAATATGGCAACGGGGAAAATGCCTGGCACAGTTAATATACTAGTGAAGTATATAGTGCTCTATAAAATACATATACAAACTATGTGTAGTTATTATTATTATAAGACAATACATTGCCAGTAATAATCGATATCTTAATAAATTTCGTACTACGCAAGTAACTCGAGTTCGACCCCGTCATGTGACTTTGTGAACTGCAATTTCAAGTGCTGATTAACCTTCTGCTCGGTCATGAAGAAAAATCGCGAGGAAACCTGCGCTTCTATTGAATAAAACATTTAATGCGCTAATACGCAGGGGACCACATGTATTGTAGATTATTTTGAAAGAAATTGCCATAACCCTCTTAGAAAAGAGGGAAGTCATGTTTCCAGTTGTCTATATTGTTAAGCAGACCTCTTTATAATGCCTACGACTTTTTGAACGATCAACAGCGATTATAATTGAATGAAATTAAATTTGGGCGGACGGGATCGAGATAGGGCTCTCACGTGTAATTTACGGCGAACACATCGTCCGCTATTCTTATTTAAAGTCTTTAAAAATATGTAAACCTCAAAAACATGTATGCGCACTAAAGATTTGAAGATTTCCTTTATTTTATTTTACTACGCGGATGTTAGCGAATTCATTTTTTTACATTTTTAATTTAATTGATTTCCACAAAGTAACGCCTGATTCTATTAATTTGTTCTAAATTAAACTAAGCACCAATTATGTGAAATTGTGTGTTAATTAAGAAAAGTGCAAAAAGATTATAAATCTATATTTCAATACATATTAATCGCTTTGATATCGATTATTGAAAACCTGTTATTATATTTCAAATTTAAACGATGCTTTTTAATAGATTAAGGGTGGCAAACGGCTCACAGTTTAACTGATGGTAAGCGGCTGCTGTGACACATAAACATATACATCTTTCTTCAATTAAGAATAAAAAAACGGATGCGTTGTTATCAATGAGGACTAAGATGAACTGTCTCATTTCCAGTAAAAGGGGTACACTCACCATACTCAACACAACAGCATTGAGCTACTATTTGATGCTGGTATTCTGTGAGTGTGGTCCATATAGATTTAGTTACCGTCCTATAGACCGAGTTTTCAGTCACGACGAAAACTAGCCAGCTGCGCAGGACAGGACTACAGTGCCCGAGTGTATGCGCAAATAAAAGTGAACTCTATTCCCCAACTTACTCAGTCCGATGGGACGGTAAACCGACACGACCGGAGAGAGATCAGGACAAACGGCTTTACGTGCTTTCCGAGGCACGAGGGTGAGACACCGCCTACTTCCTGACTCCGGGCAACTACTGAGAATTTCTTGACGAAAAAACTCAATAATAGATTTTTTGGCCCGACCCGGGATTCGAACCCAGGACCTCATAATCAGCAGTCGCACTACTACAACCACTAGACCAACGAGGCAGTCAATATATAAGATATATAGATGCAGTAAATATAAGTAATATACTGTATAATGTATGTATCTGTTTTTAAACTACGAAAAATTATTTATGTTATTTATTAATTATTGAACCTGACACAGTGTATAGGATACTGGATGTATGTAGGACAAGAACAATAGTCAAACCTAATGCTAAAAGCATTTTCTGTCAGTCAACATTAGGGGGTCATGAAAGGCTATAGAAAAACGACAGCAGTAAAATAGAAATACAAAACACATTATTGATACTCAATTATCGATAGAAGTTACAATGGTATAATTTATTAGGATAAAATTACATCGGAAATAATAATATATAAAATAAAATAGAGAATTAGTTTTAAACTTAACCATTACGACGCAGTCGAACGAATTTATATTAAAATATTTCAACGTACCCGTGTCGTTGTGTAAAAATTGTATATCTCAATATAAAACTTTAGGATCAGTTTGGTTCAGGTTGTTTATGAGCAGCAGAAAAATTTTGTTCGTGGCACGGTGTAGAGTTGCATTGTTGTATTATAACTTTCTACAAAAGGCCGTCTGTTTCTGAAAATATTCCTCAAGATTATCTACTCCTGTTATAAGTTTTAACAAGCTTAATTTTTATTCAAGTCTATCGCTTACAAAAATTGTTGGCGACAAGCTTTGAGTATTTAACTTACTCAAAGGTGACAAGCAATATACAATAATCAAGTAAGTAAAAATATTATTGTATTGTAAACTCATACAAAAATTATAAATAATAAGTATAATATAAGTATATAGTAAATGTACCCTATCCATTAAAAAAAGAACTATCAAAATCGGACCACTCTGTAAAAAGTTATGGGTGGTCAATAGACATAACCTACTAGACTTGAGAACCTCCTCTGTTTCTTTCGTCGGTTGTAAATCGTTCTTTTTAAACAACGAATCTGCTACTGTTTACTACATTATCAAATCAAAATCGACAAATGGACGTATATTACACAAGAAGGGTTCTTCGTTAAAAATCTACTTCATATATATTGACATCAGAAAACATGATAACCTTACATGTAATCGTAGTCGCTAGTCGTAGATTATAGATGGGGTATAGGGTCATAATATAGTATTTCGAAGACTTACACTTAACTTTGATATTCATTAATATCTCTATAGCTGTCCCTTTTGATTGTCATTCAAGCAAATTTTTATAAATAAGGCATAGTATGTTTTAAATTAAAGGTCTCGAACCACTTGAACGGATCGTAATATGAACATATCAGGCACGAAAGAAATACAATAGTCACTACTTTGCCCCCTAGAAGGTATAGACAATGAATACCCGTTCACAACGCGTTTAGAGATCATAATTACTATCCACGTTCAACATGTGTACGAATATGATGCCCATTCTAACGGTTGTAGCTCTTTTTTTTTCAGAAGGAAACGTCAGAAGGCTAAGGCGTTGTTCTAATTGGCTATCGATCGTAAAGATTAAACGATGAGATTGAATAGCACGATGAAAAAGATCGCGCGATGCCCATCGCACGATGACGCTATGCCGCCCTGCGATCACCGGCAGTCTGTGCGATCTTTTAGATCTCTACTCGTCTCTAACTCGACAGACCCCTCGACCAATCAGGACACACAAAAGAGATTTGTAGCTTTGATTGCACGATCGTGCGATCAAACCCATCGTACGATCGTTATTAAAAAAGTGTGTTTAATCTCGTCGTGCGACGAAATCGCATCGTTTGCTCGTACGATCGTTGCCAATTAGGAAGACGCCTTAGGCGTACGAGCAAACTATGCGATTTCGTCGCACGACGGGATTAAACTCACACATTTCTTTAGAGTGTCCTAAGTGAAGCTTGCAAGTGATCGCGCGAGCACAAAAAATGCTTAATAACGATCACGCGATGGGTTTGATCGTACGATCGTGCAATCTCAATGCAATTACGATGTACACACAAACACTATTCCATGCGGGATTTTAACCCGCAATGCGCAATGCGCGTAGAGCGCACAGAAATTCAAGTAGATTTCGGACTACGCTATAATATCAAGCATATAGTATATAACTCATGGCACAACAGTATTGCGCAACATACAAAGTCAATAGTATATAGTACAGTACAGTGTTAACGTGTCCATAACAATGTATGGTGCGCGATATTGTTGTGCTATGAGCTATGTATACTATATGCTATTATACTATAGCGTAGTGTGAACTCTACTTAAACGTAGGACTACTGCACCACGGAATCAATGTAAATAGTAATATTTATTGAAGTTTATTTGAAACGACTGTTCCGTGTGAAATTCGGACTTCTGGCCATTAAGGTAATATAGTTCGATGCCTGTGGCGCCGGCGTCGCAGCGCGCTTTTGGGTCACAAGTTTTTGAGTAATAACTTTTAAATAGTTACAAGCAATTTATTGATAATAGAACAAAATACGCACATATCCTTTAGATCCAGACGGCAGTTCACGCATAGCTGCTTGGTGGCATAAGCTGGTACCCAGCTAGACGAATGCCCAGGAAAAAAAGGGATGTTACCACCTACGTCCCTAGTGTGATTTTTATTTATTTTATTTTTTTATTTATTTTTATTTATTAGGAAAACAAACAGTGTTTTATTACAAAACAACATAACTGAATTAAAACTATACACCATTTACATGTTTTCGCAATTGAATTACAAAAGAGCTTGTTCACTTGATACACTTTTATTAAGATGGTAAATGACACCTAAGGATCAGTTCGAGAGCCATCAAACCAAGAGTCCGTCAAAGTGGTTTTGAAACGAAGTGTTGAAGAAGTAAAGAGATCAAGCTGCGTAGACGCCACTGCACTATTTAAAGTTTTTGCGGCACGAATAAAGAAAGTGTTTTGTCTGTAATTGGATGAGGACTGTGGAATATCCAAACATATAGGTTGCCTTGATGTTTTATAAGGCACCCTCATGTTGATTTTCGAGAGTAAATGCGGAGAATCTACACGGTTTTGAGCAATTTTGACTAGGAAAACCACGTCGGCAATTTGTCTCCGTTCCTTTAAGGGACGTGATACATAATATCTTATTTATTTAAACCTTTATAATCAGTAAGAGCTTATTACTTTATTTTTATTTTTTTATATAGGATAGGGTGACAAACGAGCACACAGTCCACCTGATGGTAAGTGGTTGCTGAGGCCCATAGACATCTACATTTATCCTCGACTGCAAATCAAAAGGCAGAAACATTGTCAACCGTAA